TTATTAAACATATAGAAAGATTGAAAGAGAAAATATTGTTTACATTTCTTGTGTATTATCATATACAAGTCGTCTATTATATTAATTATTTTTGCCTATTTGTCGCTTATTAAATTAATTAATTTTCCGCTTTAAGAGAATTATCAAATCAATTATCAAATTGCTTGCATTCGACAAAGTTGGATTGATTGATTAGCTCGAAGGATAATCATCAATCATACACGTTAGTTACATGGTGCCATTAGTGCAGTACAATTATGTCGAATGCATCCTATAGTCTATCGAACTTGAAAAGATGTAATGTAAGACCATATTTAGCGATATTTCGCAGCGCCACTAGACACTAATAGGCCATCTTAAATATGTAAAGATAGCCTGCCCACCGGGTGCGGGTAACAATAAACTAACACTTAAGACATACTTCGGGACACAATGCCAAGTCACACCCTTCGCGCTAACGATCTCACCTACGAGCTTCCATTGAGTCTCGCATCCACGTGCTAAGAATACTCTAATACGCGAAATTGCTTTCTACAAAATCTACCAGTTATATCTTTATCATTTTGTCAATTAAACATATATATATCTTATTTGATAGGAATAGTTACGTGCAAAATATCTCTCTTTTTTTATTAATTTGCAATATATAAATTATAATAATTATAACTACTAATTATAACTTTTTAATTTTTAGAAAAAGCTTTGAATTTTGAAATATCCTAGTTTTCTTTCAATTTAATCCGGGCCGATTTTTATTTTATTAGAAATTAGTCTCTCTTTCTCTCTCTCTTTCTCTGATTTTAAGATATAATTTTTATTTTACGTACATTTTTATTTTACATATATTTTGGCTAAAGCCCTAGTATTACGTATTTAAGTCAACCCGTCCAAACAGAGTCTTGACAACGATGGGCGCACGTTTTCTTTGGAGACGAACGATATGAGCCGCGACTCCGGCGCGCCATAAAAGCTAACAATGATGGAAATATTAGTTCTTAAAGCCGTACAGGGTGTCGTTAACGACTCTCCTGCTGAAGCCGCGACTTCGCGAGAAGTTGCCGCTCCCTCGACGACCGTCGAATTCCTTTACAATTTTTTCGCGCCTTACATCTCTCTCGCCCTCTTTCTCTTTCTTCCTTCGCACACGATACGAATCACACAGTTATAACTTCCTATAATTTTTTTTCCACTATAATATCGCGGCGAACAAACGAAAAAGGAGAACGAATTTGCTTAACAATCTTAATCGTATCGTATACGTCCTTCCCGAGTGCTGCCGGTGCACGTTCTTAAGATATAAGCAAGAAATACGCGATAAAAAAATGAAATAAATCTTGATGAAAATGACAAAAGACTATACATGTTTTGTTAGACATCATATAAATATATGTATATATAAAATTTAATATATATTTATAATTTATACTATATTATATATAAATATTATATATATATATATATATATATTTATAAATAAAAAATATAATAATTATATATATATATATATATATATAAATGTATTTTCATTATTACATAGAGATTTCTCGAGAACAATCGCTTGTATTTCCAGCTATCTATATATATGTAGAAAACTGCCAAATATTTTAGAGATAAATGTCAATCATATTATATACAATCTTAGATCAATATAAATGAAACTTCCAAAAAAATCACAATTGTTACGAATCGCGGAAATCAAAATTCCAATAAATACAAAGCGAAACATTTTTTCACGTAAACGAAATCTCTTTCGGGATATCCTTAAATTCGGTCTGTCGCGCTGTTTGCGAACGGCTGACCGATAACGCTCGACCATTATAAATTTAAGCGCTTTTAGCGAAAGCTACGTTAGGTCACAGCCGTTTTGCACGCAAACTGCACTTTGCATGCCGCATTCCGGACGGCTTGCCACCCTTGTTTGAGCTGACCAAGTGGTGTTGCGCTCGAAATCCGAATGCATAATTAATCGGGATATCAATTAAAGGCACACCAGTCTCTCCAAGAACTTATCGATTACTTATTTATGTCAATGTATTATAACTCGTTGATATACATATAAATAAATGACCGGTGTTGGCACTGATCGATAAGTAATAAAATAGAACTAATTTAAAGACGAGTTGTCTTGAATTTATTTTTATTTAATTTGTTTTTAATTTATTTTTGTTTAATTTAATTCCCTTTTTATAAAGATTATTTAAATAACCTAAAGGTTTAAAAAACTTAAAGGTTAAAACTAATAATAAAGGTTATTTAAATACCTAATACTTCAATTAAGAATTATATATATATTTATATACATATTTGAATTAAAATCCTATTAAGATAACCTTTATTTAAACTTAATTCAAGAATATGATTTTTTACGTACTCAAAAACTATATTATTTATATATTTAATTTCTTAATTGTTATATTAATTACATTTATAATTTTATATTCACCAAAATTTAATTTTCTATCGTTCAGTACACAAAAGATATTAATATTCCGATATTGATATAATTATCATTATTAGTGATTTGATTTCTAATATTATCAATATATACATATATAATACATGACTTTCTACATGAAGTAATGTGATGCGTATTTATATTGCAGCAAAAATTATTTGATCCGTGCTATTGGGCAATTATCCAAAATATACAATGCTGCGTAACCCAACAGTTTATATGTAAAGATTAAATTATTAATTGATCTATTGTGCCTCTCTTTCTCTCTTTCTTTCTCTCGTATAACTTGTTGTAATATTTAACGGGTAATAAAGAATAATAATAATCATTACACAATAAACAGTAGATAATTCGAAATAAATCAATAATTAATATTAAATTTGATTTTTTGAAAATAGTTGTATTACTTTTCGATGCAAAAATTTATAAGAAATGCACATAGGAATCGAATAATATATAAAATAATCTCGTATAGCGTGTAGATGCAGTAAAAAATACAGTACAAACTACATATATTTAATTTATACAAAATATTTTCTCCATCAGATGTTAATATAATTTTTTTCTGCTTAAATTTAAATTGGCGCTATATCTTTTTTCAATATTTTTACATTAAAAATATCTTGCTTTAATTATTAAATTATTATTTATAAATTTTACTTATAATTTTACTTATAAATTTTAATTTATTATTTATGTTCATCTAAGGCTTTTATAAAAAGACAAAAGAGATTTGCATTACGTCATTATTTTTTACATTTAATTAAGCATAATACAACATTTTAATAATAGATTACGGATATTGTTCAAAGCATTTGCTCCACTTTATTCATGATTCATTATATTCGCGTGACTAATTGCTCATTTAATTTGTTCGCAACGATTTAATGTCATCGCGTTATAATGATCACGCTTTGACAAGCGCGTTTCATATCACCTTGAACATTCTAATTAAATAGCGAAAATACCCAAAAGAATAGTAAACATGGATATTAAAATGTAATAAAAATAAAATTACTATTTATATATTATTATTAGTATTTCATAATTATATTCTCTTATATATTATATATTTAAAACGTAAAATAAAATTGATAAAATTTGAGTACTTTCTTTTTCTTCTTATTATTTGAAGAATTTAAAATATATAAATTTCATAACAGAATTCTCGAATTAATATTTGATCGCGAATCAATCGATTCCTTAGTGCATATATTAAAAGTATGAGTTTTCAGACCGAGGCGTCCTCCCTTAGTCAATATCGCGATAGGTTAGATACCGACAAGTTAGATAAGTAGTTACCATAATAAAACGATTAGCGATTGAGGGTAAATAAAGATAGATTTACCGATGAACAAGTAACTGACTGATATTACCGATTGAGACAAATACCAATGTCGAGTAACGAATCATCGATGAGATAATATTATAAAATAATATAAAAAGATATATATTCGATAATAAACATGTATGGATTCATACCTGCACTTCAGGAAAAGCTTGAGATATGCGTAGATGACTTTCATCATTTCCCGATAATTGCACTCCCGACACTTCGGAACATTCGCGAAAGATACGAAACGGATTCGAAAGAATCTTCACTCCCCCTCCTCCACGGCAGATCGATGGAACATCGATATCGCGATATATTTTCGATCATACGCGGCACTGAATATACTAGGAATTCCCGATACTTTACGAAACACATTTATGATAAATATTTGTTCGTGGGATTCATTTTTATGATAGGAATCGTGAGAAATGTGGAATGGATTCCGAAGTAATCTGCTCCCCTCCCCGTAGACGAACATTGATATCATGATATTATGATATATTGGCGTTCACACGGCTAATGGACTACGACTTATGAATTCCCGACACTTTACGAAATACTCGCGATAGATCTTCACTCGCGGGACTCACTTTTAAACAGTAATAATCGTCGGAAAAACGGAGAGACTCGCGACGCACCACGAATTTAAAACCTATTGAAGTGAGCGCACATCGAGAATTGCATTGTCGAAGTAGCGAGCCAATCACATCGCAGCAATCAAGTCAGATTCGTTGGGCATGAATTGCCGCTTAAAATAAATTTAAAAGACAATGAATCTCCCGCGCGATTTATCATTGGTGTTATCGGGAGTTCGTTGTAATTATGTAATTATCGAGATTGTCGGGTATAGCGCAAATTAATATTTTTATACAAGATAAAAATAAAGCTCGAAAATTATCTTTGCTGATACTAGAAATATGGTCGAGATAACTGAAGATTATATAGATAATTTTAATTATTACAGTAAACTATAGAGATACGCTCAAAGTAATGGACTTTTCTAGGACGGTTCTCTCACAATGAGTACTTAATAATATAAAAATATAATTCGTTATGTTTGTTTCCTTTGCTTGCAATCACCAGAAATGTTTGAACTTAATGTACATATATATTTATAAAATTTTGTTTGTTAAAAAAGAAAGAAAAATTTGAATGTAAAAATTGCAAGCAAAACAAACAGTCTTTAACGGAAAGAAAATAAATGAAAAATATTCTACAGTTTATCTCAATAACTTTTTTTTAATATTTTATTTTACGATTAACAATTTTATTTTGCATGAAATTGTACAAATATTAACGATTCGCATAATAAGAACGCATTCCACGGTTTTGAGACATCGTATATCTGGTTACATATCTCTGGAACAAAAATGTAAATGTCAGCAAAAAACTGACTGCAACGGTAGGCATTACCTTGCTTTACATATAAAAACAACTATCGAGAGAGGTCAGATAATCTTTTAAAATTCTAGACTATTTTTTTCATTATGTTTAAATTTGAACAGTTAATATAGAAAAAAATTAACTTTATAATATTATATTAGTGAATTATATAAATCTCTTTTCTATCATTATTATAATAAAAGAATGGGAAATATATTTGCAACAATAAAACCAAATTATTTAAAGTTTATAAATTTTATTAACTTATTAATCGTTCATCTAGCAAAAAAGTGGAAAGTTCACATTATATATAAATTTTATAAAGCATAAAATCTTTCTTGATATTAAAGTGCTTCAAATTTTGTCTACATATTGAATTACTACATGTATATTGATCTACATTGGATTACTTTAACCCATTAGAAGTTTATCATTTTTAATACAGATTCTATATATATAAATATATTTTTTTATGTTAATTAACAAGCGCAAGTACATTTGCATTGTCCGCCGGTCTTGCAATCACATTGATCTGAAAAAAAAAAAAAGAGTATAAGTTATCTGCATAATCTTTTATTATAAAGTATAGATTTTTATTAAAAAAAAGAAAAACATTTACAAAATTTATAAAATAAATAATCTTTGAATATAATAATTATTAAAATAAATTATTAAATTTTTATTAAAATAAAATTACAATATTCTGAAATTATTGCTATTAAAAATTATTACTATTGTTATTAATATAAACTCCTACAATATTCTGAAATTATTTTAGCCAATATAATTTCCATTTTTAATGCGTGTTTATTTTGTATAATTTAACTTTTACGTAACTTAAATGTACAAAATTGTGAAAAATAAAGTTGATGAAGAAAAAAGACAAAATATATGTAAGCAGGAAAATGTAGAATACGTAATATTCTGAGAAATCTTCTATTACTCATTTTTTATTACGTATAAAGATTGAAATGACCGAGAGCCACGTTGAGCCTCGAGTCGCGCGAGTAACATGTTACATGCAATTATGCCACAGCAAAATCGTATTACAAGTCTGCAAAATTACGATGTACGGTACTAAGCTGTACGATGAACCGGCATCGACCGTTATTAGCCAGTCATTGTCCGCGATGAACAAAAAATATAGTACAGTTATTTTTATCAGAGTCAGTTGATATATTAAAGAGACTTCTTTGACACAATAAAAACGAAAAATGAGCTAGACAACTAATCATAATCGTTAAAAATAATGATTTCTCATAACAGAGACACAATAACGAGCAAATAATGAATTGCGACTAAACTAATTTATTATTACCTTTGCATCCTGGTTTGCAGCATGAGCAGTTGTCACCGCATTTACAGTCCTTGCACGTATCTGTAACAAATTTAAATATTGTATAAATATTACAATGTGAAATTAGACACTGTATAATATAATTTGAAAAAAAAAATTAAACACCGTGTATAAATTTCAAAAATTGTGTAATAGTGTATTGACAATGCACTGTTGAATCAACAGTAATTACAAATCGATAAAAAAATTACGTCTTTATAAAAAAAAAAAACATCTTTTTTTTTATATTTTTCATTATGTATTCAATGAGAAATTCCTTTATAAGTTATCAGCAACAATTGAGGAAATGTCATGTCATATCTCATGTCACATCAAATTATCTCTTAATATCCATTAAGAATTTATGAGTACACTCACCCTTGCATTTGTCGCATCCTGGTCCCGGCATCTTGATCAGCTTTTATCGCTTCGCTCGTTGAAGTTCAAACTCTCGTAGTACGTAGCAGAATGCTCACTTTGCCAATACGACGTCGCGGCTTCGAATTTATCGATCGTTCCCCACCACGGCTGGGCTTGGTGCCGAACAGATTGACAAGCGTAACGCGCGGCGTGTGCAATCGTCAACATACGTGCCATGTGCAACTCTTCAGGGCCGTGGGCAACTCTGTAGACACGGGTTTTTCTAAGAAAACTTGTTGAACAAGCTGTAAATAAAAAAAACACACATATATACACATATCTATATAATTCTCTAAATGATTCAATTATTAGAGCATGTAGTAGATAATATGTGAAAGCTATCTTATATATGAATAATTTTCATAATTAATATTGTATTAAATGATTATTTGTCAATATAAAATAACATTTAATTTATGACTCGTTGTAAGACAACTTTTTAAAAACAATAATAAGAAATAAAATATCATATCTAGATTAAAAAATATAAAAGTCTATAATTTTTAAATATAATTTTAATATATTCGCGTTTCTTTTTTTTCTATCTATTTAATTCTTCAATTTATTCTGATATATATATATATATATATATATATATATATATATATATATATATATTTTATATTTTGTCTGTAAAGAATTTAATCTATAATATAATCATTAATTTTTATTTCAACCAAATTAAATATTTAATATAAAAGATACATGCATAGAATAAGTTACTTGTGTAGAAAATAATTTTCATGCATTATCTAATTATAACAATCTTATTTTATCATAAACAAACTATTTAGAGAATTATAAATATTTATATATACATTATTCATAGAGCTTTAACGTGTCTCTATTGTATACATAAGGAAATGAAACGTTGTCTAAAATAAAAAAAAAAATTTAGATCATGTGCGCTCTATCAAGGACATGCAAATCACGTAGTAATATGTCCTCGTGCAACATAATCTGCTTCCTGCCCATATAATTAAAAATTAAATGTTCGCGCTATTGACACAGATCTCGAAAATATATTAACGATCTGCGATATGACGGTCCTGTCATGTCAGTAGCGAATTAAACCAATCACGAGAATTGCAGAGAACGCAGTATTGTCCCGTTTTACACAACATCGATAACGAGAGAAACTTCTCCTACGTTCTAGAATATGCGGTTGTAAATTTCCATGCATTGATTCATCATAATAATATTTCCATTTGGTCTTATTAGTCACGTCGTTTTTCATGACGAATTTTAAGATGTTCTCTTCGAAATTCGTTGTTCTCATTAAAATGATTTGTGTTCACTTTTATTATTTTTTACTCGAGATTTATATTACTTCGTCCGTAATGCATCTTTTGCAACATTCTGAGTACTCTCAACAGATCTCTGCAATAACAATATAATATTTATATATATAATAAAAAATATATAATAAAATTATATATAATATAATTATATATAATAAAATTTATTATATATAATAAATTTTATTGTATATAATAAAATTTAAAAATTTAAAATAAATTTAAAAATTAGGTTAATATACTTACTGTTAGACAAAAATGAGAATAGAATAGATTGCTGTAGATAATTTTTGAACGAATATTTTTCTCTTTTTCATATCTATTTTCATATCTATTTTCATATCTATTTTACTTTTCAAAAAATAAACTATGAAAAATATATTTATTCTTGTGTGTCAATATAGTAAAAGTAAGAATTTTAATTGTGCAGTATAATTATAACCGTGATTAAATTCTTAAGAAAGACTTTAATTACTTGAAACAAGATAGCTTATAGTAAAATAAGAAAACGCAAAATAATTGGTGATGAGAAGAAAATAATTTAAATTGCACATTTAATGAAACATCTTACATCTCATATATAAAAAGGTTATAAGATATACAACTTTTAAAATTAAAAGATATAAAACTTTTATGAAAATATGAATTAACATGTATTATATTTCATTCTTTATAATGTATCATCGATCTTCAATCAACAAAAAATAGATTTAGAGTAAATATTAGAATATTAGCTATTAATTTTTTTGTATACGAGAAAAGCATGTTTTACGAGCTGTTTGCTCGATATGCACGGATTCTTCTGCGGAATCGTAATGAATTTCAGGTTGCTTTAAATAATCTGTTTGAACTGATTTTATTCGACCTGAAATAATGTGATACAAAAATTAAATTGTAGATATTGTTCCTGAAATCATAAACTCTTTAAAAAAACCTATGTTCATATTCATGTATACAAAAATAATTAATTCGTGATTTATAAATATAATATTACCTTCGTGTCGAATCACAACTTTATCTTTTGTCGAACGCAACAATTCGTTTATGCGGTTTCCAACTTTTTGATTTTTTGTTTCTTTTATCTAAATAAAAGTATTATATCGTTACAGTTATGTTGTATTTTTAAATGTTCAAATTTAAATATTTCAGATTTTTGATATACAAATTACCTACCGTGCGTACATGTGATGGGAGTTTATAACACACTTTTGGATGTAAAAAATTATCAGGTGTATTTTCATCTCCTACTACTGTTCTTGTCATTGTCTGAAATAATATAAAATATGATAGATGTATGATTTCAATACATTTTGTAAACAATAACTTGTATTTATAATAATCTGAATTGTATTTATATTTTTATTAATATTCGCTTACCTCTTTTGGCTGTTTTGGAGATTGTCGAAATTTCACTTTCGGTTTTGGGCTAGGAGATCGCATTTGTTTTTTTTTAGGTGTTTTAGGTCGTAAATTTTTTATCAGCTGAGGATCCGTACCTTTTATATACATTCCAATTGGTGATACTACATGATCGTAATTTTCTATTTGTTGATAAATGCTTTTTGGATGTGGACTAACATTCTTTTTTTTATTCATTCCCATTACTAGATTAGGTGAAGTAAAGTATATGCGCTTTGGTTCTCTCTTAATAGGTTTTTTTCCAGGAGTTACAAACAATTTTGGCTTTGAAACCATTTTACTAGTAGAACATTTCATTGGTGAAAATTTCGGTACTCCTAATATCGTATTCTCGATTTTACCTCCTAAATGACGAAAACCGAAATCTTCTCCGGGCATCTCCTTTGTTTGAACATCTTTTTTGTCAGGAATATGAGAATTGCTCGATCCAGTTCGAAATAAATTCAGTACAGATTTATGTTTTTCCAAATACTCTTGATATCTCTTAACAGACATTAATGTTTCTATGAATTTAATGTCGCTAGTCGATGAGGATTCATTGATGACGATCTCTGGACATATTTGTTTCGCCGACTCCGAATTCGTATCGATTTCCATCATTACCTTTGCCGTATCGAGACATCTTTGTCTCTTTTTTGCGATTTCATACATGAGCGTATTTTCTAAATCATCTGGTTCAATCATTTCATAAGATTTATTATGTCGAGTTAATTGCTTAAATGTATCAGGTACATTCTTTGAATCTTTATTGTGTTTTTCGTGTGTAAACAATCTAGATTGAAGATTTTGTGCTTCAGGTACTTTATATTGGCTTGTTAAATCCAAAGTAAACATTGCAGCTTTCTTGAGTTGTTCACGTATGTCGAATGAGCTTTCCAAAGAAGCCATTTGATTTTCACATTCATGTAAAATGCTATCTAGATTTTGTAAGGGAGGCTGTGATGGATTTTTTTCCTTTATTGGGACAGTTTTGCATTCGTCAGCATAAAATTTTTCACAAAATGCCTCTAAAGATTCAAATGTACTTGTGCTATCATGCAATGGACCTTTTGCGTTATATGAAATATTTTTGGGCATATACTGACAAGTTTTCTTCGGACTTTTAATATTACGTCGAGTTGGCGTGGTTAAGCCTTTATCTCGAGATATAAAAGTATCAAGAGATTTTTGGAAAGGAGATTTAAGTCCTTGACTTCTTTGTCTCATACAAATTGACATTCTTTGAGGAGATTGAGGCCAATTTGGAATAGTCTCATCCTCTATAAATTTGCACATTTTTCGAAGTTCTTCAGTTAATCTACATAAGCTAACATTTGGATATTCTTGTGCACAAGAATCATCATTTATAATTGATTCTTCAATAATCGTTAGTAATCTTTCTGTAAAAGTTTGAGGTGAATTATAAAAATTTGCAGACATACGTCTCAGCAAAGGTTCTTGCACAGGTGCCTCTTCCAATGGCTTTTGTTCCAATGATTGTAAAAATGTTTTTAATTCAAAAGAATTATTAAATTGCTCTTTTGAACTAGTCTCGCTGCTTGTTGAATTGCAATTCTGATCTTTTTCAAGAAGATGGAAATTCTTATTTGATAAAGTAGAAGTCTGTGACAATGATAATGCATCAAATAGAGTAACTGTATCAATTTTTTCATGACTATTTTTCCTTGTAATAGTATTTATAGGTTTTATATAAAAGTAATTAGTTTTAATATTATGATTTTTATCTCTCTTCAAATTACTATTAAGTATACTGCAGCTTTTAGACCTTTGAAGTCTGTTGTTAATTACGTCTTGATCTTTTGTTGCTATGATTGTATCTTCCAGTGAATTTAATGACATAGCATAAACACGATCTCTAATTAAATTACATTGTATTTCTACGGTTTTTTTATTTAAGTGTTGAGACTCAATATCTCTGCTAACTTTAATTTCAGAGAACATGGAATCAATTTTATTTGAATATTCTTCAGAAGTATGATGGTCTTTGCTTAGCTGCTCATCTTGAAATAGATTAATACATTTATTTAAATCAGGTTTCAATGATAAATATGATGTTTCATCCGACACACTCAATGTATCTTTTAATAAATGTTGATTGTCACATATGATATTATGATTATCCTTGACAACCTTGCATAGATCAGATGAAATACATTGTTGATTGTCTAAATTACCTGCTATGATAATGGAACCCACACAAGATTCATTTAGATGACTATGCTTATCACTTTCATATTGCTTATTTCTTATAGAATTAACATCTGAGTTATCGTCTAAATCTTTTTGAGATGCAATCGAATTCTGTCTTTCCTCAAATGTTGTTTGACCTGTAAACATGTATATTTATTTGTGAGAATATTATTATATATATTAAATATCTACCATAAGTGTAAGATGAGAAAAAAATGTTATATCTAAAATACAACTTATAATAAACTATAAAATAAGAGTAAATGTATATCTAAAATTGAATGTTTACATAATTAACTTATGAAAAGTTTCTTGATATGCAAAATATATAGTAATAATATAACGTCCACATTTTGTATATTATACGTATATTTGATGTATCATGAATTATAGATTGTTTAAAACTGACTTCACAATAGAATACACTTCACTTAAATTGCAGTTGTAATGTACATACATAGAAAAGCATTGTTATACGTACGAAAACTGGTTAAGGAATCTGTGAAATCATCAGCACGTCTTCGTCGAGTGCTCATTTTAACCTTGTTTTTTTGCAGAGTATAACAATCTTAATACAAAAATAAATCGATCTTTGCATTCAATTCTTTCAAAGATTCAAGAAAACATGAGACACCTGTAACGGTTAATCAAATTTACACCGTTCACCGATTTTTGAACAGTCAGGTGCACCAACTTATTGGTGCTATATACATACTATTTGATCACGTGTAATAAAAATATCGGCCTGCTTTCATCCATAGAAAGAGAAAATAATAGAGAGGAATGTTGCTTATATATATATATATATATATATATATATATATATATATATATATATATGGACAAATATGCTTTACATCAAAATTAATTATTAATATAATTATTATTATAATTATTATTAATATAATTAAATGATTCAAACAAAGAGAAGAGAAGGAGCGTTTGACCACGTCCCGATTGACACAGTCAATTATATCGACCTGTACCTAGGGTACCAGCAACTATTAACCAATCAGAGAGTCCTATTTTGAATTGGCCAATTGGCGACGTGGTCAATCGAATCCCACCCGAGAAGAGATATCATGGCCCGTTTTTAGGTGATCCCTGAAAGCGATACTCCCTCTATGAACATTAAAAACGTGAACATGAACTACAAAGCCAATGTCGAATGTTCTCAGAGGGTAACATATATGTCTCTCTGATAATATAAATAATATAAATAAAAATATAAATAATTTAATTAATAATAATTTATTATATAAAAATATTAGTATGTTCTCTCTTTTCACGCTATTATTTATTTATTTATTTATGTCTTCTTTTTCTTCTCAACATCATTTATTTATTTATTTCTTTAGCTCGCTATAAGTCAATCTTTTAAAATGCAAAACTAAATATTATAGAATTTGATTTCGGAAAAGCGTGGTAAAATAATCGAATAAATTCAAATAATTAGCTCCGTGATAAATTGTTTAATAAATAATCAATTTTAATCAATAAATTAAAATACTTCCCTAATTTAATATTTCATGTTAATGTATATTTTATAAATATACATTAACGTTAATGTATATTTTATATAAAATATTTCGGCAACGAATTATCAATAACACGGCGTTCGACTTCGGCAAATATATAATATAATATAAAATAAAATATAAACATATAATATAAAATATAAACAGTAGCGTGCTATACATTACCGTTTTTGTCATCATTCGCATGGTGACTCTTGAATAATAAAGTATAATGAAAAACGCTTCAAATATTGTAATTTTCTTACTAAACACGATTACGATTAGTATCGAAACATAATT